CCCGACATTTAAAACCAACTCTTAAACCACCGAACTCAGGGACAGGAGCCTGCGACCAGCCCCAATACATTGCTAAAGCAAGGCGACTCAGGTAGCGTAACCGCTACCTTTCGTGATATGACAGCTACTTTCAAGTAAAGAACCAACACGTGCCCATGTTGTTGACGCTTTTATCTGCAGCCATCAATCAAGGCAATGAACAAAAGACATCGGTTTGAACAAGGGGGGGCTTCTTCTCGTCCCCCACAGTCTTGGAGCAGCGCCAGTATCATCTTCGTGTTCCTGCCAAACAGGTACTTTCTGGAGCGTTCACACTGAGCAGGCAATGAATTCAGCTTGTGGACACAGTCACTCACCGCCAAGTTGCCAGTAACGTATCTACGACCTTCACTTTTGGTTGTGGTGTCTCTGATTGGTGGGTGAGGTAGCTGACATGCAATAACCTTTTAACAGCTGAAACATGCACCACCAGAGTTTCGCACTTCCTATTTGCCCGGCCTCTTCTGGAGGGGCCTGCGACATGACGATGGAACAGTTTGGGAAGCAGGTGGTTTCATGTCGGAACCACCGGAACGATCTCCAAAGAGTCTGCCAGACCGTTCCGGAGACGTGTCAACGAATGCAAGACTGGAGGTCTAACTGTCCCAGGTCCCAGTCTGGATGCGCAAAGAAAGAACTCGAATCCCTCTGTCCAGTACTGCAACTGTGAGGGGTGATCGGACCGAAAGACCCCAAAGACCTGCTGATGGAAGAGAAGGTATATAGAATGGTCAATCAAAATGACCAGCGTTGCCCACCAATGATGGTGAACATTGGACTGATCCTGTTGGTCCAGCAACCTGTTTGCCGTCTACATTACTTAGAAGATCTTGGAAGCTTTTGTCGGGTCTACGCGCCAGCCAAGCTCGCCTCGAGGATCTTGATGACCTCGTGGTGCCCGCGGCCCTGCGCATGCTGAAGGGCCGTTTGACCTTGGGCGTTCAGCCAAAGTATGTCTCGATTGTTTCAGTCTGTTTACAATCATGCGAGCAATGCACACGATCCAAAGTCGTCCAGGAGGGACTTTTGACAAACCTTGTTGAGCCAAGCGCCATCATTGGTTTTGAGGTCCTGCGAGTTGCTGTGATGATGTAAGCATGCAACGAAGGACACGTACTCCGGTTACTCATTCTTGCATGTGCGGCCTGCAACCCTTCTGATTTCCAAAGAAACAGTGTTGGGACTATGCATCATAATTATGCATAAATGATGCATGAAATACTTACCAAGAATGGACACGCTAAGGCGATTGATTTAACGGTATCACTTGAAACCTGGACGGAAGCTTGCAGTTTGCGGATATGGGTCTGTTGCCTGGTGGTGCTTTTGTGGCGATTTGTCGAAACATGTGCACTGACACTTGATCGCTTTAGCCTTCGTGGCAGGTGATCTGATGTGATTGATGAAGCTGGAGTTTCTTTTTGGCGATGCGTAACGTTTATGTGATGATTTTGATGTTTCTCGCGAAATGCAATGATGTATCGTACCGTGCTGATCCGGGCGCGTTTGGACTTGTATTATGTCAGCATATACACCCCAAATAGTTTCAGCATTTGTTTTGCGTCAACTCCTGTCATTCCAATGTTGGTGGCAACGTCTGTAATTTTGTTCCTATAGCTTCCAGCTGGTTGGGAATGGCACTGTTTGAAAACAACATATAGTTCCTGATTCCCGGGTGACGTGTGCAAAAATGAAGGGATATCTGTGATCATATCAAATTGGAAACGCTGCACCACTGCTGCATTCACAGCCACATGAAACATCGAACACATACCCGTGCAGAAAGGGCAAGGGGCGTGGCCAAGCACGGGACAAGGCCTGGACAAGGCGGTGGTAAAAGGGCCGACCACGTTGACAAGCAAGGCAGGCAGACCCAAACAATGCCTGAACAAGGACAACGCTGGGCCCACAGCAGCGTAGCGGCGCGGCCACAGCTATCATGGCCAGCCATTTCCTTCTTGAACTGATTGGGGAACGAGAGGATGACACAGCAGGAGGACAGAAGGAGGACAAGAGAAGGCACAGGCTTCGCCAGCGCGCCCAGAGAACAGCAGGAGGACAACTGGAGGACAAGAACAGGACAACAGGAGGACAACACCCAAACACAGGGTTCAGGGCCGCGGCCAGAGGCCAGAGACTGTGGCCTCTGAAATGTTTGGAACATTTTCATGTAGTCAGCTGGGTGCACTAAAGCCACGCCAGTTGCCAAAAATTCACTGCTGAGGCTCTTGCAACCCTTGGTAACACATGCGATGCAACCTCGCCTTGCTTGCACCTGCACTCAGCAATTCTCGCACCACTTCCACATGGCCATTGGATGCTGCCCAAATTAGAGCCGTGTTGCCTCACCAGATTCGAGTGTTGGTGACTACAGAAGCTGGCACCAACCTGTATTCTGCCAAGAGCACATACTTACTTCAATCCCATGATGGTGGCCCAAAGCATGATTCTGTTCGAAGAACTCACTTTGCAGTCTGGGCCCAGCGCCGCTCTTTTGTTGGTGGTCCTGCACGTGGGCAAGACCACACAGGGTTGCATTCAGATCAAGTCGATGCGCCGGATAAGCCGCTTTAGTCCGGCCAGTAGTCAGAGGTCTGTGGAACAACTGACAAGTGTATCGCCCTGCCATGTAGAGCGCCGTGAATCAAACATCGACGAAACGTGCCTTATTTGCACCAGCAGCCAGCAGTGCATGCACCACTTTGCACTGACCACTCAGGGCAGCCCAGATCAAAGCTGTGACACCTCAGTAAGTTGGATTGGTGAACACGGTGAATCCTTGATTCCAACTTTGTACGCATGGCCAGCTTCGAAAAACTCGTCAGCCCTCTGGGAGCACAACCCAAGTTGTCCTGACAGTCCTGTTGCATCGAGGTGAGGCAGTGATATTGCAGGGCCGCATTTATATACCGTCTTCCACCAAGGTTTGCGTAGACAAATATCTGGAGTGACTACATTATGACTACATTCTTCCAAAATCCTATCTCTGGAACATCTGGGTCTACGCAATGCCACATAAACTGCATCAGCAAGCCTGGCTGGCACCAGCAGCCAGCAATTCATGCACCATTTCGAGATGGCCGCCATGGGCAGCAATCATCAGAACAGTCAAGCCTCAGCATTTTTCAACTGCTGGCTGCACAAGATAGACAACACCACCAGCTCAAAATGCATCAGTCAAAACAATATGCAAAGCACATGCAAAGAACCCACAAACCCATGTGTTGTCTGGGCTGGACACCGGTATCACTTTGGCTCTCCTGCCAGGTGGCTGCTGCCCGGTTGCAGATGCAATCGTGGTATTTAGATGTATTTGATTGTATTTGGTCCCCGTTGAGGCCAGTTGGGATGGGCCGACATGTCAAGGCGTTAGGAGATCGAAGCCCGGAAGGATGATGCCTTCAAATCGGTCCCCCACCTGCGTGCAACAACTTGGTCTATGAAGGTGTATGGGGGATGAGGAGATGCCTGCTTAGAATTTCTTTGGTGGCAGTAGTCTTCTCAGTGTTCCAGCGAATTCCACAAAACCCCGCAAATTCCCCCACAGCCACGCCTTGCTGGCATCTGCCGCCAGCAATTCTCGAATTATATCCAACTTGCCATTTAAAGCCGCGATCATGAAAGCCGTCCAGCCTGAGCGATTTAAGTATCCCTAGAGGGCTGACAAGTGTTCCTTGTGCATCTGATTGCAGCGGCACACCAGTCACCGGTCGCTTTTCACAAAACCTCCTGCTCTCTGGGAACAATGCCCTCGTCTGTCTGGCCGTCCTGAAGCAGAGTTCTGGGAAAAAGCATCGCTGAGACGTGGAAAGCATGTGTCAACTATACCTGCAACAGGTGTTGTTTGTTGGATACCTTGCTCCACCCTGTTCTCAGGGCCTTTTCAAAGAGCCAAAGGATACGTCGAACAAGTCGCGAACACCAATTATTCCCATTCATCGCCATACCAAACCTGGACATGTCGGTGTGAGCAGGAGGCAAAGTCTTGTCGCACGGTTCAAGCCTGTGATCTGCCTTGTTCCAACTGCAAAATTGTGTCATCACCTGCCACCTCTGCACTATTCCGCTTAATTCCACAATCCGCGAAGGCTTATCTATCTACACGAGTCTATCCTTCATCCTGCTCTGCTGTTCCATTGCTGTTCCTCATTTTTGCAGGAACTCAAAACCATGGCCAGCCATGGTCAAAGCCTACTTGCAAAGAGTAGCAAAAACATCTACTCTAACAACATATATTCAAATCATCTATGGTGAATGTGGTTGCCTTATCTTAATTCGGGTGTTCTTGGTCAAACCTTTGCAGAATGGGCCGTAGGCAACAATCCCAAATGACCTTAAACCTAGCTAACCTCTTGTGGAAGCCGAACCTTGAGGCCCCCCTCCCGAAACAGCATCCACTCCTTGTCAGCACCAGCAGCCAACAGCTGGTGCAGCGCTTCGCGCTGACCGTCTCGCGCTGCAGTCATCACTGCCGTCCAGCCCGTTTTCGCCGAGGTGGGACCTCACATGTCTCTGTCCATTTCAAACTAACCTGACCCTTCGAAGAGATCTTCAGCCGTTCTACTACCAAGCCGGTGAAGCAAGCTACATCCCATACACTTATATTCCTCCTTGAGCGCCACACCATCATCACCCGAGCAGTCCTGCAAGCATGCCGGGAGTAATTCTGTTTCTGAGGCCCTCGGAATCGGGTGAGTTTGTTGACGCTCTTCAGGGAGGTGAAGGCATTCTGAAGGCAGGTTGAGTGGAGTGCGTCTCAACTGTGTCCCACATAGTTTGGAAGGGGAGGTGATGCAAACCCAAAACACATTTTCCACCTCGTGTTGGTGTTAGTGCTGGAGCTGACATCCACCATCCCAAATCCCTGACCTTGGTTTGGAATGAGCAAAGCGCATGGTCAGCAGCTGGAGACAAGTAGAATCCGAAAAACCCTCTTTGCAAAAAACAAGCAACATCCAGGAAACACTCTACATCAAAACAAAGAGGCTGCCCACAAACTATGCTGGCTGTCAACAACTGCTTGTATGTTCTGGGAAGCTTTGATCCACCAATGAACTCAATCCCTCAATGCACACAAAGCGCGAGGAATGGTTTACTCCTTCCAAAGGCACGACACAAGGGGAGCCAAACCAAGCAATGTGCAACTTAGAGCATTCTGATGCCAAGTCGCCAAGTTTACATAGGGTCTCATGGAGACGATGCGGGACCCACACACACACACACTCGGAGATATACATATTAATATTTAATCATTTCATTTACTTCGAGGTCCCACCTTGCTTCTTGCTACATCCTAAGCGTAGCAAAGATCTGAAGAGAATCTCCTTTTGAACATTTCCGTCCGTTTGCGCCTTGGTGGAGCTTGTGGCCAACAGCTCATTCGCCAATTCCACATGGCCATGTTGAAATGCCAGGTTCAAAGCTGTAGCACCTCAGCGCGTCTGACTTTGGTCACTACTTCCGATTAGCAATAGTTGCGTGCCTGGTCTAGATTTTGCTAGGTTGGGGAACTCCCTAGCTCCTGGGCTCCCAATAAATATAAATACCCCCACTCCTCCATGACCCCGAAAGCGCGCCAATGATCCTCTGGTCATCTAGGGCCACCACCTTCACCTAATTTGATTTCCTGACGGCACAGTGGGAAAAGAACAAGATGAAGGTTGCAGGCTGCAGTATCTTCATAGTCAGGGGAACGTCGACAAAGTGCAACACTTTCAGCCAAGGTGGATAGACAAAAATGAAAAAATAGCACGTGCGGATCTCACATTGCAGCGATAACTTTCATATTACGGCTCTGCCAGTGCCACCGTCAAAGCACTCTTTGGCCCTACGGTATCAGGTTAGAATTCTATTATACCATTGACCTTGGTCCTGAGACAAGGCGTAAAGGGTCACCTCCAAAAGGCCCAAAGGTGTGTCAAATCTCAATGTCCGGACTTGCTCAGTGTGCTTTTTGTAGTGCCCACTTCGAAGAAGCCCCATGTTGTTTCCCGGCTACGATGCGTCGCTGCCGCCCAGCAGTCAACAAACATGAAATGTCAAATAATTGAACCTTCGAAAAAGGGGGTCTCTGAGTTCGCACGGAGCTTTCCGGAGAGTTCAGTTGGCCAAGGGACCGGAAAGGACTCCAAAAATGCGGTGTGAGAAACCCACCAACGAAAAGAACTCGCGAACCGAAAAAGAGACACGTTCAAGGCGGTTGAGAGGGGCTTTCGGATAGTTAGAGCTCTTTGGATCTCAAGTTTGAAGAATCTTGGGACTGAAGCACTGAAGGGCATGTATTTTTTGATTTACAGGGCTGTTTCGTTCAGGAATTTGGGCTTCAAACGGTTTGAAGATTCAAAAAGATCGGCGACCTGAAGTGGCGCAAGGGTCTTTTCGAGGTCAAAAGGCTTGAGGTTGGAAGGGTGGTCTTTAATTGCCTTTAGACTTAGAATGAAGGGTGTTTAGAAATGTTCACGCTTACACGCACCCATGGAGGGAGACCAAAGTATGTTGTTCTACATATCGTAGTAGTCAAATAAATGAATGTCAGGTTGAACCTCTCGCCCTTCTCGCCTGGAGATTTTGCACTTCGAAAAGGGGCTCTCGGAGGTCGAACGGAGCTTCTTTCTGGAGAGTTCAGTTGGCCAAGGGACTGGAAACGACGGCAAAAACGCCCCAATTACACAGAATCAAGAGAACGTTTGGGGAAATACGGGGCACCAGGATCAAAAATACTTTGGAGCTCAAGCTTGACAGGTATTGAAACTTGTGGGCGCGCCACTGCACATGTCCAAACAACTAAAAGTATTGTGGAGTTGGGACTGAAGAACGTTGACGGTACATGTCTTTGTGATGGAAATCGTTACTGCTGGGGGGGTTCGAAGGGTTTAAGGACCTTAAAGGACCTTAGGACTGAAGGGCCTCCAAGGTATGTGAGTTTTTTTTTCGTTCAGGGGTTGACGATGTAGTGGACCTGCAGGGTCTCGAGAGTATAACTTGGGCCTTCTGCGATTGACAGGGTTTTCGACTTTTGGAGACTGAACGGCGTTCAAGTGTCAACGAGGCTACAAGTGGGTTTTAACGAGCATCAGCAGCATCAGCGTTGAGACAAGTGTGTTATTTTGTCATCAAAAGGTTGGGCACGTTCACCTGGCAGTTCAGATCGTGGCCTTTCTCCGGTTCATTTTCAGTGGTACTGTTGTTCCGTAAGAAAGGCTCTGCTTGCAGCTCCTTTGCTTCGTTTCACGAACGTCCAAAGCTTCGTGTTGGGCATTTTGCGCTGATTCATCGCTAGTAACCGCTAGTAGCCCTGACCTCTGGGCACATGCTGCAGTCTAAGTTGTTGCCGTAGTTGGGCAAAAATATGTCTGGTAGACTGGTAGATGGCTTTCCGTACAGGATTTTGCAGCACACCTTGAGTGTCGGGCAACGCATCTTCCAACTTCAAGCGTGCTTCCTTTCATGTGCAATATACACGTGTCATGTACAGTTAAGTTAAATGCTCTGTTTTATTTCCCTGTGTTGATCTGCTAGGTCCTTCACCCCTGATACTTGATTTGAACGTGGGTGCGGGAATCGATGGTGTGGAGGCACTTCCTTTCCAATTGAACCTTCGAGTGGTCGAGTCGTTGAGCTCCGGAGTGGAAAAACGCACTATGAAGATTGACGGGGTTGTGGTTGGATTTTGGCCTTGCATAACCTGGATTGAACTACAACTATTGAAGGCTCAAGAATGAAGGGTTTGTTGGGAAAGGACTGAAACTGAGGCCATGGTGGATTGCTTCCCAAGTCATTGAACTCCATGAACCTTGAAGTTTTTCACCCAAGGAACCTTGAAGTCATTGAACTCCATCTCGACTCGTTGTACACAGCATTTTCTGTTAAACAAACTTCTGGGTGAGGTCCCAGGCCTGTGAGATCGCAAAAACAATCACAAGTTGCAAGGCTTTTCGGTTGAAACGTCTTCGAGGATGGGACGCATTTTTATGGTCTCCTGTGTAATTCTGGTCCTTGGCATACAAAAAGACCTGATACCAATCCATACAAATCCGAAACAAACAAGCACGCTCTATTTTTCGCACCCATGTTGTTTCTATTGTTCCCACCCATTGTTGCCTGTTGCAGTTTTTATCGACCCGCATCAACCCTGTCAGTTTATGGACCAAGTGAATAACGGAATAATGAATAATGCCTCTTGACAGGTTATAGACGCTAAAGACCTTACATTACTCGTCAAACATGGAAGGTTTGCTTCTGGTCGAACTGCAAACCGAGCACCAGGATGGATATTGTTTCTCCATCCAAGAGACCGCTGGAAGAATAGTATGCTGCTCTTATATGGCCAAGAGTGTTGGATCCAAAGGAATTGATGCATTTTAGGACATCTTGGGACTGAAGCGGCTTAAGAGTTGAAGAGTCGTTGAACTCGGCTGGGTTCCAGGTTGATGATGTCGCAGAAAAATGTGGGGAAGTCTCCAAGTGACCGCACGCATTTCTTAGGGAGTTCTCTCGGAAAACGGCCCATGCTCGTCATCAGGTTCTAAATACCTCGTGCTTCACAAGTTCTGGGTCCAGGGATCGGACGTTCTGATGGATTCCCTGTCATTCAACACACCCAATGCAATGGCAATCTTGGATGAACTTTTAAACCACTGCAATAGAAACAATTGACCCATAAACAAAAAATAGCGCTCTATTCTGCACGCAGACACACCTTGCAAACGTGTCTAGATGAATCTTGAAAAAGGTCTGACTCACTTACTGCGCCAGAAACTCCCCATGCAAAACCCAAAGAGTTGCACACACACAAATTTATAAGCAAGACCCAGAAAGAAGTTCAGCGCTCTATTCTTCACGCAGAAACTTCCCACACCCAATTTATATAGAGGTTGCATGCTGCATGTTCGTCTGAGTGAATCCCGAAAAAAGTAAAGGTCTGGCTCACTTACGAGCATCTTACGAGCTTTTGGCTCTCAAAACTATATCGCTTTGATGCTTTCCATCTCTTTCAGATGAGTCACTTATAGTAAGTCCCCCTTCATCTCTGCCGCCCTCTATGGGAGCCACGATAACTTGCAGGACCCACTCGAAACGACCCGTGTCCCCGCGACCGAAGCGTTTGCCGCCCTGTCGCCGCGCCTTGGCGCAGCCGGCGGCCAAGAGTTCGCGGACCACGTCCACGTGGCCGTTTGAGGCTCCCAAGAGCAAAGCCGTAGCGCCTCAATGTCCACGCGGCGCCGGCTGCAACGACGACTGCCATTTGGCGACGAACGCATCTGCACATCCTGGGTCCGGCGCCATTGTTCGCCTGGTGATCCTGCACAGGGGGGATGGCGTGGGACCGGTTCAATGCCATGGGATCGCTGTCGTCACTTCCATGGTTCCCACCTATCGTTTCCTGTCGCAGAATCTATCGACCCGCATAAACCCTGTCAGTTTATGGATCGCGTGAACAATGCCCACTAAAGGCTTCAGAATGCTATAGATGCTATAGAGGGACACCATTGAAAACACTGCTGGTGATTGCTCAAGCATCCAACGTTGTCGCTTCCATGACGTGTGAACCATGGAATCCAGGACTGTTCGGATTTGCTCAGGGTCCTGCTGCAAAGCTCACTTTGTTCACGCTTACACGCACCCATGGAGGGTAGAGACCAAAGTATGTTGTTTTACATGGCAATCATACAAATAAATGTCAACTTGAACTTCTCGCCCTTCTCACCTGGAGATTTTGCACTTCGAAAACGGAGGTCTCTGAGGTCGAACGGAGCTTCTTTCCGGAGAGTTCAGTTAGCCAAGGGACCGGAAACGACTGCAAAAACGCGGAGTGAGGAACCCGCCAGGCAAAACCCGTGCATTGCAAGGCTCAAACGGAAAGAGAAACGTTCCAGGCGGTTGAGAGGAGCTTTCGGATAGTAGTTAGAGTTCTTTGGAACTCAATTTTGAAGAATCCCGGGACTGAAGGGCATAAATTTATTGATTTACAGGGTCTTGTTGAAGGCGTTCCTGCTCGAGGTTGGATTTCACTTTGGATTTCAAAGGACCGTGGCCTTGGAAGAAGCGAGGATAAGGGCGCTTTGCAAGTGTTTCCACAGCTTTGTTGTGTTTTGGATAAGGGTGTGTAGAAATGTCACCAGGTTCAACAAACAAAATCGTCTTCAAATCGTCTTTCCAGGGTGTTTTGGCTTTTGGGCATAGAACGAAGGACGGTCAAGTAGCACCAACCAGGCCACACTAGTTTCAATAAACATGAAACGATATCACATCCTATTGCGCTGGTACCTTGTGCTAATCTGGAAGTTCCAATTGCAGCCTTTCACTGGTTCACTTTTGAGTGGTACTTTTGAATGAGGCTGAGGGGTGTTTTGTTCATTTAGAGCTTTTGGGATTCCAAGAGCTTCAATAGAGACAGTTGACCTGAAGGGCGTCATAATGGCTTCAAACAGGCACGCAGAAAGTACTGCAATGCAATCCTATTGCGCTGATAGT